AGGTCCGTAGGAAAAGTAAGCATCCTGTGTTGACCCGTTACACCCGCCGTGAGCTCTGTGTATTGAGCAGGTAGAGGGAACATTTCGTAGTCAAATTCAGTATTTAAAAAGGCCTAACAATTGGTATGAAACACTTCAGCCAAAATACGACCCATTGATAGACTATATTTGCGAACAAGGTCATTATAAGACTGTAGAATTTACTAAAATGCTGACTTTAAACGAGGTTGTTAAATTTCCTGTAACATCAACTAATCTGTCAGAAGTCTGTCTAGGTTTAAGAATTCGTACTCAGAGCATGCTCTTGAGTATCGGACAAGCTGGAATTTGTAAACATCATATGCAGGTAATAGCGGGATATTACTACATAAATAAGGAAAGTTGCGTTTGTCATGCAATTTAGTTGTAAGTTAGCCCTTATCGTCTTAAGTCAGTAAAACATCCAAATATGAAACAGATGTGGCAGATTCTGTGGTATGAAACATGTCGGCTAAAATGGATCCAACGATAGGTTATTTTTGAAAAAAAGGTCATTATAACGATGATACAATTTGTGAACTGCTGACATTAAACGGATAAGTTTGTGTATAAGGCCCTGTCATATCAATTTATTTCAGTAGCCTTCTTCGGTTTAAATATTATTGTGCTCTGAACAAACTCTAGCGTACAGAACCAAAGAGACAAATAAAAATGTAATTTACTTACCTTGTCATTGGTCATTTGCAAAATTATTTTGTTAAAAACATTCTGATTGTACACACAAGTACTCTGAAGTTTATATTAAAAATATTATTAACAACATATTAAAAATTAACAATAGTTACTTCCATTCATATGTCGAATGGATATATCTGAATGAACTTGAAATAAAAATACCACAGAGTCTGACACATCTGTTTCATATTTGGATATTTTACTAGAAAAAGACGTTAATGGTTACCTTACACCAAAACATATTGATAAGCGTGATGACTTCAAATTTTTTATCTTCAACTTCCCTTACTTATAAAGCAATATACCGTTATCCCCTGCATATAGGGTTTATGACTCCCAGTTGATCCAAACGCAAGATTGATTGATTGTATGCTGTTTTACGTCCCATTCGAGAATTTTTCACTCATATAGAGACGTCATCACCCTAATAAAAAATACTGTAGTTAACTATAGTTAACTATAGTAAATCAAAGTGTCAAAGTTATCACTATAGTAAATCAAAGTTATCAAAGTGATCACTATAGTGTCATAGTTATTACTATAGTAAATCAAAGTTTTTACCATAGTAAATCAAAGTTTTCATAGAGATCACTTTAGTAAATCAAAGTTTTCATAGTGATCACTATAGTGACATAGTGATCACTATACTAAATCAAAGTTTTCAAAGTTATCACTATAGTAAATCAAAGTGTCAAGGTGATCACTATAGTTAAATATAGTTTTCATAGTGTCAACGTTATCACTATAGTTAACTATAGTAAACTATAGTTAACAATAGCTATTTTTTGTTAAGGCATATACTGGTGAAGGGCTTCAAATTTTGACCATTATTCGGCACTCAGGGCCATTGAGCAGTGAGGGATCTTTATCGTGCCAATGCCTGCCATGTCACGGGGCGTCGGTTTTTAAGGTCTCATCCAAAGGACTCGCAACTTTCACTTCAAAGTGCCGAGCGCATGGCGAAGGAACAGTTGCTACCCATTTTTTATCGACTTAGGTCAGTCGCGGCCGAGATTCGAACTCACGACCTCCCGATCACGCTGAAACGCAAGAGCATGCTATTGACATTCAAGTTGATGAAACAAGAATATCAGCAGTCTCGTTTAAAGTCATCATTTTGAAATTTTGCAAGTTCTATGGTCGATACTATAACCTTATTAGCAAATATAGTCTATCATTAAGTCGAATGCTGACTGACGTTTTTCATACTAATTATTAGGCCATTATTTACATACTAAATTGTCTACGGATTTTTCCGTTTTCCCGATCATGACAAGGAGCACACGGTGTATGTGACCGGTCAATAGGGGATGCTTCCTCCTCCGTAACACCTGATCCCGACTGTGATGCTGTTAGAGGTCTGCGTTTGCTCTGCTCCCGATTGATAGCTTTAATGAACTTTTGAGCTTGAGTACTATTCGTTATCTCCATATTTCATGCACATCCTCATGCAGGTGATAGTGAAATATCATTGCAAAACTATGGGAAATCAACAATCTAAAACTTCGCCAGCCATCTTTTTAATTGCATATAGTTTAGTTGTAAATGGGCTATCAATGTCTACAGTCAGTAAAACATCAAAATGTGAATCATTGAAGATGTTGAAGACTCGGAGGTGTCATATTTGGAGTACACTAGGATATATCGAGTCGACATCAGAATGAAAGTAACTATTTTAATTGAAAAAAAGTTGTTGATATATCCAAATGTCCAATTAAAGGTCTGAGCAAGTTTTTTTTCTCGTAAAATATTTTGAATAAATTCAGCTTCATAAGAATATGAAATCACGTCGGCTTACCAAGGAGAACAATTTGTACCCATTCAAATTCCAACAGTTTATTTGAAGACTTAGCCTTCAAAGGCTATGTAGATATTGTCAATAAGGAACTCCAGCATCTGTTAAATATCTTATTCAAAATACTTGAATGTACAATCGGATTGATTTTTAACATAGTTATTTTGTAGATGAATAATAGTAAGAAATGAAAATTGCCAAGTTCCATATTTATTGAAGAAGCAGTTGTTTATGATGTTAAAAAGCCTTATTTTTGTTCATCTTGGGACTTGATTGTATAAAGTTTTAAAATGTCATACGTTCGATGTTATTTATTTTGGAGAAGTTTTTTCTTCAAATTTTCTAAAAGTTTTTTTTGATCTTTTTTATTTATTTATTTATTTTTTTTTTGAGCTTTGAGAATCCACATTTAAATTACACTACTTCTTAAATATTACGTCTATGTTTCTGTCCCAGAGCAGTTAATATATTTGTGAAAGGTAAAGAGAGGGGCTTGGTTGAATATTTATTGGACCCTCCAATATATCGTTGTTTGTTAGAAGTTTAGTATAGGTACGATAAATCAAAGGAACCATACCTGTTAAATTATTAATCAAGTGAATTTACACGTGAGAACAAAAAGTAAGCTATATCAACTTTGGAATAAAAATGACTGATTATTTTACATAAAATTAACAGTTTAAAATTTAACAATAAATAATTGTTTCAGGATCAGGGAACCAGGAATTCGTTATTTTGACACGTAAGACGGGGAAAAGTGGCTACAGAGAGCAAACCGAATTAAAAAAAGTAAATAGATTAATATTATGCGCCAATTTACGTCAATGATCTATTTTTATTTTTGTGCATGATATATGTTCAGCGTATTGAATATTTGACGAAAACAAATATTCCTAGCACCACCTTGCGGATGATGACGAAAATTAGCAATGATAAAGGATATTTGATTTTTTTTTATATCTTAAAGTTTTATTTGTACATTTAGTAATATAAATATATTTGCATTCTTGTTAGATGAGGCCTCTGGAATGACATTTAAGATTGTTGAATATTTCTTAATATGACATTTTCCTGAGAAAACAGTTTGCATTATCCAAGATTATATAAAGTATGTCCATTTTTGTACATTATACATAATACATTATATATAATGAGGAGTACATTGTTTAACGTTTTTGAATGAAGTTCGTAACAGAACTCTTTTGAGATAAGTCGTATGTCGGAACTTTTTTTTAATCTTAAATATTATGATGTAAAGTTTATTAGTAACTGCTGGGTTATATATTGGAAATGTGTCAGGAATTAATTTAAAGGCTACCCATTATATAATTTTCATTCATTTAAGAAAAAAAAATGATTTTCCTTAAAAAATCGTTTCGAAGAACATGTTCTATAAAATTTACAAAAATTATAAATGTAACGTCAGGCAGATTGATACGTTTTTGACGCAAGTCATTTAGACGTAGGCAACCCATTTTTATACGATATATAGTAAATTTTTTATCCAAAAAAATACTGCGATATAACAAGAATTAAATTATTAGAGTATCAAATGGCTTACTCTTTTAAATACGCAGAATTTCGGTGAAAAAAAAGAGGACTCTGATTCAAAAATAAATTGTAGTAAGAAAATAGAAAAAAAAATACTAGATACATTTAAAATCATACAGTGGAAAGTATTGAAAAAAAAATGCCTTTCTGAACAGAGGGATCATAAAAAAATAATCGATTTATTGTAGTTGGATATGAAATTTATAACTATTTCACGAGTGGGACAGGATGTATTGAAATTTTCACGAGTGCCAAGAACGAGTGAATATATATATATATATATATATATATATATATATATATATATATATATATATATATATATATATATATATATATATATATATATATATATATATATGAAAGTCCTGTCTCATGGGTGATCATATCCAGCTACCAAACATCCAAACATTGAATTTTCTGTTTATTGCATTTTTAAATTTCCTCTTTTCCTTTGTCTTTTCGTTACGCAGTGTAATAGGCTGTGAGGTCATAGTTGAGGGGTTGTGAGACGTCATAACTAGGCGTTTGGGAGACTGTAAATGTGGGTTTAACATCAATATGAAGAATCTTTGAGAGTTTAAGTTTCTCTCAGGATGGTTTATTTACCATCACTATCTTCACTTTTATGCATATAGATCCCAAGTTTTATTATTCCTAAAAATTTCAGGTTCAAGGATTTCGTCTTTTGAAAATCCCATCCTTTTTTTCATTTATAAATATTGCATTTCATCGTTGCGATTCAAGAATGTAAAACATTAATTATATCATTCCAATTACACAATAGGTGGGGCAAAAGTCACTCATTTGCATTTTGAACGAAGTTCTGTCAATTAAGCATAAGTATGCGGTGAAAGACTAACGAGGGTTATTTATCATATTTCCATAAATATATAAGTAGGGAAATACTGTTTTTCTTACGCCATTTAGAAACGGAATACTCTGATTAAACATCAAAGGTTTGTCTCCAATTCTATTTTTTTCTTATAAACTTACTATTATAAATAATTAAACGCATCACCAAAATCTCAGAGCAATGTCACCTTTAATTTTTAGACACCCATTACATTTGAAATCATTCGTTTGAATTAGTTTAAAATTGTTCTACAATTTTTTTTTTCAAAACGAATTACCAGCAAAACAATTATTTAAAAAATCAATAAGGTCAAATTTCACAAATTCTGTACATTTCCATTTGTGGCATTCCGTTTCAGCGCTTTTGTTGAATTCATAGCTTTGTTCCCGAGTTTCTTTTGCAGTAAACAAAAACAGGGAAAGGGGAAATACTGCAATAACAAAATGCAGGTCTAAATTTTGATTTTATTAATATTATGATAATATACATTTGCATCATTTCAGTACTTAAACAAACTACTACTGTAGATTCCTAAATATACGCGAGGAATAAATTATCGCGTAATTACGCGAGGAACACCGCTCGCGAAATAAAATTACTCGCTTTTATTTTTATTGTGCTTTAATGTATGTAAAATCTCTAGATAAATCACCCATTTGCGAATTATTTTTCTCGCGATTCGACGTCATTGGGCCATTTCGCGATTTTAAGTACTCGCGTAAAATAAGGAATCTACAGTAATCACTGATAAGGTTTCACCATCTTTCACCTATTATAAATACTAGTAAATGACCATTTATCATTTAAAACCATTTTGTTGCCCAGGTGTACTCGATTTTATGTTCTATAATGTCGAAATGCTTGTCATTGTTTCATTGTATACTGTGACCTGTCGTACAATGAAAGGTGAAGAAGTCTTCGAAAACAAATTGTGACCCATCATAATTTGGCGGCAGTTCTATACCATTTTATCAATGCACTTATTGTTTGTCCGCATTCTTAATGAAGAATTTCATCATTTATGCCACTGCGACTGACATAATTTATTGAAAGAAATTAAGAGTAACATCAAAACTCAGAAGTTACCTTTATATTGAAGCGAGGATGTTTTCAAAACGTAAAACAAAACCCGATATTTTATATTATTGTAAGATGTATATATACACATTTAACAAGTTAACATGATGGCTAACAAAGCATGAATACTTTATATGAGATGTGAAGAAAACGAACAGTCAACACGCTCAAAAGTCCAGGGAAACAGAACAAATTGTAAGCAAAGCAAACACAGACCTCTGAAAAAATCAGACGTGGGATAAAATGCCATGAAGGAGTAAGCATCCCTTGTCAACCAGTCGCATCCATCGTGTGACTCTTGTCATGATCATGTGAATGAAGAAATCCGAGGTTAATACAGTGTGAAAATAATGGCCTACGAATTTGTATGAAGGACGTCAGTCAACATTCGACCTAATGACAAACAAAATTTACAAACAGGGCCATTGTATCGACCATAGAATTTGCGATATGTTGACTTTAAACGAGATTGTAGATAACTTTGTTTCATCAACTTATTTATTAGTAGTCTGCTTCGTTTTCGAGATAGTTCGCACGAAGAACATGCTCTTAAAATTGCTTTGGTGTATCAATCTGCAGGTTAAAGTTAATTTTCTCAGAGTTCTTTGGCGTTTTTAACATTCCACATTTGATAAACAGCACCTTTGAATATGTTGTATTACATTTCTACATTTACCGCTGAAGTTTCTCCTCTACTGTTGTTAATATTTTCGTGAGGAGTAATAGTAATCGGGTTGTTCGAATATTTGCTAGATAATACATAAGTGCTTAATCTTGAACTCGGGACTTAATACAGGTAACTCTTGATGGCTCGAACTTCGATCTCTCGAAGTTCTTGATCGCTCGAAGTGAGTCTCCGGTCCCGAATTTTCCCCCTATATAACTAAGCAAATTTACTCTTGATTTCTCGACCTCTTGATCTCTCGAAACCCTTGATCCCTCGAAGTCAAAATGCAGTCCCGCTATGCATATTCTATTACACTTTACCCTCGATACTTCGAAGTGGCTATGTGTATACAAGGTTATATAATTAGCACCTTAACCTGGACATTTAAATGGTCCCAGGCAGAAGACGCGGGTCTCGAGGAACGGGATGTTTATTCAGGTGACACTTATGCTGCAAGGTGATAATTTGATTTATAATTAATCATATTTTACCCAAATGCTAGTAAAATATTTATCATCGAATGTCTTACGATAATTTAGAGACTCTGTGTCAGTGAAAAGTAGAAATTGATTAAAAGACGAAACACTTATTTAATTTTTATTTCGAGTCTGCGTCAAAATTAAACGAAATATGAAAAAGCAGAAACAGCATCAATGTCAATATGACGACTATTATTGGACAAATACTTACAGAACTGCTTTCAATAATCATGTTTGGAATAGTCAATGCCATGTACGACGCTGTAAAATGTCGTTTTCATGTAACGAATGCGTAGTATGATGTCCGTATTACAAAGAATAAATAAATGTACACGAAATGACGATATACATTTTTTGCTTTACTCAGTTTAATGCAATATTCATCTAAATTGCAAAAAAATATCGTTGTTTTATACAAAGCACGAGTAAAAGGTTAGCACTGCATGAAAATCATTACGTCCGGTAAGACTATTTTTAAAACCTGTCAACAAACCCGGAAAATTCCGGACTCTTGAAAACTCGAACTCTCGAAGTTTTTCCTCGGTCCGGTGGACTTCGAGGTATCGAGAGTTATTTGTAATTATAAATCCATTTATCTCTGTTTTTTGTTTGATAACATTGTTGCTACCTATTTGATACGGAGTTCAAAATACCTTGCTGATGATATAATATCTAGACTCATAATTATTAAGATAAAGGCTTAGGGCAGTGATCTGACTTGACCTGTACAATTACTAGCATATGATATAATATCTAGAGTCATGTTTAGATAAATAGTAAGGGCAGTGATCTGACTTCACCTGCACATTTAGTGGCATTTTTTGACTTGACAAATAAACGATGTGAAAATATAGGTAATAAGCTACATTTTCGTCACCGAAACAAGATATTGGCAAGAAGTATAATTATATTTTTTTTAATCAGATTAATACAAAGCGAAGAACTATTAACAATTTCAGTATTTGAAACTTCATAAAATGCTATGCAAGGTCAATTAAAATGGTCCAACAAACCCTTATCGTTATTCCTGAGAAAGAAATCAACTGCTGTAAAGGAGAAACTATAGACTACTTTTTACTATTAGGCTAAAACATATTTTAGAAATGGTTTATCAAAACTATAAACTTTAAAAACTTTACGAAAATTTTAAAGTAACTTCTTAAAATAAATAAATAACTTCAAAACGTTTGACTTTTCAAAACTTTTTACAACCATTCCCCAAGATAAATTAAAGACAATATTTTAAGATATCGACAAATTTTCTGTTTCAGTGGAAATGGAACTCAAAAATTTTAATTTCTTGTGATTGATCAACTAAAAATTAGTCTGTTAAAAATATTCTGACTCTTTACAGGTACATGTACTCTGAGGTTGATATTAAAAAGACAACTAAGTTATACATCAACCAGGATTTTTCCGTCGTCAATTTCTATATGAAAAAAAAATTCCATAATCATATGCATACTTTGTATGTTTCCCAAAGATTCTATACACAAGAGCAGAGTATGTTCTACGCACGAGCAAGTTGCAAACCGAGTCTGGCTACTGACAATTAAAATGATACTACAGAGCGTTCAACAGTCTCGTTCAAAATCAGGCTTTCACAAATCCTATGGATGTTATATGTACATTGTTGGTATTGCATTGTTGAATCGAATTTGACGAAAATGCTTCATGCCAAGTGACAACATATCGTTTTGAAGTTTTGACAACAGATTGCTCCATTTAATTAATCAATCAAGAGGACTCAAGGGGTGGCGATTGGGTGACCCAATGACTCGTCCAAGACACCTGGTCCAAACTGTGGTATTTCCAGGTGTCCCTTTTTGTGCCCTTTTCATATTTACATTATGGGATTTGTGAGACAAATCAGTTTGGTATTTTTACCTTTTTATTATAATAACAGATAAAAAATCTTAAGCATAATTCAAGATTCATTTTATATCCAAGAAATCGCTATAATGTATCGGCTTTATGAATTACCATGTACTCCATGTAGATATAGGACAACATAGTAAATGCCAATATCGAACAGCGGTTTGTACGATATGCTTCATTTCACAGCATTTTGTTTTTGACTTGCAAGATAATTATTCAGGATCCATGAATCATTTGTTCGTGACTTCATTTCAAATTAAATATTTAAACATAAAAAATGTAATTATTGATGGGTTGTAAATGAATTCATCGCACTATGGTATATTGACGATGTTTGACTAAAATTAATTCGACAGATCTGTCAGTAAATTAATAACCTGCAGCCAGTGAAAGCAAAAATTAATGTTTTTGCAGTTGCGTGATTAATAGACATCTGAATGTCTGTAAAGGTTCTTCGTGACACTTTATACTAGGAACAAGGAAACAATTCGCTGCCATTAGAACATTTCATTGTTGGCATCACTTGACCAACATTAACCTTGCAGATTGATGCACGAATAAATTTTTAATAATTTAATTACCTATAATAATCGTTTCCTTTCGTGTACTTACTGGATAAGAATATAACCTTTAAGAATCAACATCACTTGTTCATTTTATTTTTCTTTCATAGGCAGCCGTTTCCTAGATCAGTCATAATAATGCCGAGATTGGTTCTACTTTTTGTACTTGGTTTACTCTTGGTCAGTCACATAGATGGACAAAAGAGCAAAAGAAAGTCGAAGTTTAAAGCTCTACTACCTGTCTTTGAGCCTCCGAAGCCCAAAACGAACAGCATTGCAGAGAAACCGAAAACAACAGGTACTGCATCATCATCAACCATTGAAACTGTTGCAACAATTGAAATTGGAAAAGAAAAACCATCTCAACCAAGTAATCCTTCAAAAATGGACTTACCACCAGAACCTTCAAAACCAGTTCAAGAACCAAAAGCAATCATCCAAAGTCCTCCATCAAATCAGAATCAAATTGCAAAGAAAAATGTAAAAGCTTCACCATACAGTCTGTTTCCAGAAGGGATACCACAAAACAAACGATCGAACACTCCAGTACAACAATATAAGCCTCCTACACGTGCATTCTCCATGAAGAAAACGAAACAATCAAGTAAGAGTGCTCCATCCAAACCAAGACTAGGGAATGCTAATTTCTTCGGTTTCAAACCCATGACATCATCAACGCCTACACCAACCACACCAGCCCCACCACCTCCTGTACAACAAAGCTTATTTAACTTTTTCAGTGGACAAAATGGTCCTTCTCCAACCCAACAAGCAATTCCATTCCCTCTTCCATCCATGCCACCATACCCAGGACTGCCGAACAATAACCCACAACTGAAAAATGTTTACCGAATGATTGCAACGTGGCTAGTTTCTCACGCTATGAATGGAAATAATAACGCTGCTCCTCGTCCAGTAACAACAACGAAACAAACCCCTCCAACTCCTCCGATGCGTCTTCCAAATACACAAAGACAACAACAGCAACAAAGACGACACAATTTGTTGACACCTCCTCCACAACGAAACAGAAAGCAAATGAAAGCATCTAAACGTTCTCAGAAAAAAACACAGACCCAGAGGAACAAGAAACAAGAAGAAGCATTACGCCGAATGAGGGAGAAAGCCTATAGGGAGTACATGGATGAAGTGTTTGACGTGGACGTCCCAGATACGGCTTTTGCCAATGGTCGTATTCCATCATTTCAGGCACCTTCATTTGAATTCCCTTGGTGATCCGAGAAACATTTTATAAGTAAGTTATTATAAGTAAAACATCATATCCACTTCCTCTTTTTAATGTTTACTCAATTCATATATAGGCACTTAAACTACAAAAAGTATACAGATGATAATTGGAAAGGAAAACGATTAAAGCATTTGTTGTTTTATTTTAGATAGATCGTGAAATTCCAATTGAATGGAGAATCCAGAACGAAAAAAAACTTCATATATTTATTTTCTCGGATTTACTTCATTACGAGAAACAAAACATGTTTCGTCCCTCATCTGCTTCAGGTGAAAAGAACTGCGCCTTTAGAAGATTAGGAAGATCGCAGATGAAGCAACATACATTGTAGCAAAATAAAGAGTTTTCCTAATAAATATTTATATCTCGATGTAAACAGTCAACAGATTTCAGTCCAAAAATAGTTGTACATGTATATGAAATATTCATTGTTTTTTATACTCAGTTTAATTGGCACTTTATTGCCTATTCCACGTGTTCAGAAGACATAAGGTGACAAATATGAGTAATTAAATGACATTAATTAATAAAAACTTGATTACGTTACACCTAAACCAGGTCGTACACCTATATAATGTGTACATCAAAAATGCGGATGATATTCATTATAGATGTACATGTAGCAGCTAATTATGTATCATATATAACTGTAATAAATACAATAACCGTCTTCTGGAGTAATTATTCTTCTTACATAAAGTAATGAGGCAAACAGAGACAGGACGGGAAAAACAGGGGTTGTAAATATATTGTGATATCGAGTAATTTTAGAGGTATGAAGAAAGCATTGACAAAGGCTTGGGAGAGGAAGTCATGTTGTAGGCTGGCCTATGGATCATGAACATTACTACTGGTGTGCGACTATATTTCAACACTCTCGTAGCAGATCTGTTCGATATTTTAACATTAGTATGACTTTCTAGTGAAGCAAAACAAACATCTTTTAAAAACATTGTCATACAATAATCTTACAACTGCAGTAAGACTAACATATACACCTTGAAATTTCTTACTTCATTATCTTCCAAGTAATTCTAGAAATTGTCAGAAGATGAAAATCATTTCACAATACAATTTGCAAACATGAATTATTTGTTTCATTGAGAGAAAAAGAAAAGATTTTAATGAGTTCAACATAATTTTATTTATTTATTAATTTATACTGACAGAAAGGTCCGATACATCATAAAGGAAACTGCTCAAAGTCCTAGAAGTTTTATTTGTGCATAATGTGAAACTGGAATCTATTGATATATATCTTTAATTATTTTTACCAAAAAATGTTAATTGCCTAAAAACTAAAAACTATCACATAAATATGTTGAAGGTGAATATAATAAAAGTACATTGGATATATGAAAAATACATCATATCAGTTTTACCAGCTCTATTCGAATTCTACTTGAAAATCGATTCCATTCATTCTCTCTGTGTATGCTTTGTCAAAATCTTCATTCATTTTCACAGTGAAATAATTCTTCCAGTCTCCTATCTTTCCTAAAAACAAAAACAAAAGTACATCTTTATAAGAAATCAATCAACAATTTGGTCTTATTTAAGATTCTTAGGTTACTGGTATTTTAATAAGAATGCAGTACAGATTCTGAAGATCAAGCATGATTAAAAAGGTCTTTAAAGTTTTTCGACGTGTGCGAAAATTGATATGGAACAGAGACTGCTCCAAACTACTTTGATTTATTCAACCAGAATTTACTCAAAACAAATATAATCGTGAATGATGCTATAATGAAAGTGCTACCCCATTATAAAAAACTTAAAGTAGTTAACCAAATGTTATATTTTTTTTCTCCATTCATGTTACAAAGAAATGCTGTTGTGCTCCAATAACATTTAATTACAGAGAGGCAGAAGTAGTCATGATATTATTGGCATCGCATTCAGCATTCAGAAAATAACGAAAACTACTTTGAGTTCCATTCTCCTAAATGAGAGTCAACATTTAGCTGACACTACTATTAAAAGGATACTATTCTCAGTTTTTGTTATTATAAAAATTGTGTCATTTTACTTTCTGGGTTTTCCTTTTAAACCACCTTTAAGAAAAAGAAATTATCGTTGTTTAAGTAAATAATAACAAAATATTTTAGAATTCTAGAGACCTTTCCGATAGACTGTAGGATTTTCGTTCAATTGGAGTTCATTCATTAGATCTGCCATTTTCTGGTCCTCCCTGACACTTTTGTCTGCCTGCTGAAGGTTTTGAAAGCTGCACCTCTCCGTTACCTTTTTGACAAGTCCATTTTCATCTTTAACACCCAAGAAGTTAGCCAACCTCCGTATCTCTGCTTCTGTGTTCTTTGAAGTAAGCAAAAGACACACAGACGTAAATTATCGAGTCATTATTGTAATAAAATTAAAATGCGAAAATAATCATTGGGTAATTTAAAGTAATATTAGCTGCTTTAAGGCAAAAATTCTTTTTAATACTACCTCTCATTTAAAATGTTCCAAAACTTTAACGTATACTGTAAATTTGATGTAAGTTTCAGAGAAAAAAGGCTGTGATCATCCATGATAATTGCACATTCAGTGACAAATAATGGCAACTTTTAAATTTAATAACTGAACACAAGTCATCAATTTGATAGAAGATATTTTCATTGAAGAAGACATCTCTTTCTCTTTGGAGATTCACCCTAAAAAGAGATGTATCTCTCAGTTCTAAGGATATATCATTCCAAGGCAAAGAGACGTGTCAAGAGGCAAAAATAGGGAGATTTTTAAGAAGTTGAACATCCATTCCTGCTCAACGATATAGAACTGGCGTAAGCTTCCTAAACAAGTATCGAAATGAAATGAATTATTGCAAAACCAAAACTGATTACCTTGTTTTGGAGTCGATATTTTCCTTGTTCAACAGATTCAAACTTTTTGAAAAAAAGAATTCCAATACTATTTACTTACTCTGTGAAGTTTCTCGTACTGTATCATTAATATTTGATCCTTCCGAGCAGCTGCTTCTTTGATAAACCGTTTATTGTATTCAAACCATCCCCCATACATTGCCTCTGAATGAAAAGAAAGATTTCTTTCAAAGATTAAATCAATTGCAAAGTAAAAAATAAGGAAAAGATCCTTGAAAACCCCACAAAAAATGTATTTCTAAAATTCTTACTTCGTCCAAGATAAAGCTCATAAAAATATTCCTCAAAACTGTCTTCTTTTATATATCCGCACGAAGCAAGAAATTTAAACAGAGAGACGGCCACATCTTTAGGGTTCCGCACAACGTATATTATTTTCCCGCCGTTATCCACGTGTTGTTTTGGGAGCTATTGAAATGGAACATGGGTGCTTATGTCACCATTATAAGACTGCATCTGACTCATGTCAGACAATCCCTCCACGAAAACTTGTTCTCTGGACACTGTAGAATACTCCGCTTTCCCACTGAGTAGCATACCAGTTATCTCCCATACCCAATGTGTCCCTTCAATAAACATGAACTTTAAGTATGACTTTTTGAATTTTGTTGAAATGGCGATATATTGATTAATAGTTCTAAAAAATATGACAAGGAAAAAGAATATTAATTATAACCCATAGAAAAAATCAATCTATGTTTAATGTCATTTTATTTTGAATTTAATTAATATTTTAAGACAGAATTAATTTCATCAAGTTAGAGCGCAGTAACCTCTGACTGAAAATATTTAGGTTTGATAAGTACATAAAGATATGTTTATCTTGTGATAATATTAGGTTATATCTTATTCATAACTGACTTAATACGATCTATTTTATCTCTCTCTAAGAAATGATGAAATTTTATGCTAAAGTAGATGACGTATTCTTTTACTATAGTATACTCAAATGTTTTCAATTCAGTTCATAGATGATTGAGTGTATGTTCTTTAAGGTCCATTTGGGAATTTTGGCACTTATGTCTCCTTTTCTTAAAACAAAATTGACAATAATTTATTTTAAAACAGCTGTTTATTTAAATATAAAAATTGTACATGTCCCACTTATACCCAGGCTGGATCCAGGAACGTGAACGCAGGGATCATTTATCACATTTTGACATTTTTTGTAAAAGACTTTAATTGCATATGATAATTATGCCAACATTTCGGCTTCTTGATAACCAGAAGTAAAAGAAGAAAATCGCATTTTAAGGCCCCAGTGAAGTAGAGACCATGGAATGTTTAAATGCTGCAAACCAACATTGTTAAAATGGTTTAGATGTTCCCGAAAAGAAACCGGAAATTATTACATTTTTCAACCGAGTAATGATGTACGACAACGGACGAAACGGATAGCGATACGAAGGGTTATCAAAGTTTCTTGGTCTGGCTCCATATAAGTTGTATTAAGTCGACATAGAAGTAGAAAGTTCAAAAGCTTCAGAAGACTTCATCTCAACACTATCAAAAATTCCTTTATGGTCAAATGAATTAGGTAAGTTATGATCACCTGGCTATTCGCCTGGTGTCTTGCATCGTATTAACTTCTCAAAGTGTAGTACTCTCTCTCTCTTTCTCTCTCTCTCTCTCTCTCTGTGTGTGTGTGTGTGTGTGTGCTTCCACTTTTCATGACGCATTTCCCGGAAGTTAAAAACAGATTAATCCATCTATCCAAGTCTACCGTTATTCTAGCCCACAAGAAAATGTTACTCTCTGTGGTTACAAACTCCGGGTCACCCTGTCGCGACTCATCATTATAGGCCTAATGGTGCCATGTCACATGGTAAAAGTAATAAATAAACTAGATTAAAAATGGGCATTGCAAAAGATTTCTGCATTCATTAGGTACATTTTCAGGTAGGAAAATGTCGTATATGAGGTTGCTGAGGAGGTAAATTATTTGAAAATAAGAAATGCTTGATTAAAAATTCTTAATCAATTCCCTAAATTTGAGGGGTATTAATTCCATACCCACGAACTATTTAATAACTTATAAAGTAAACGTATTCTTTCTTTATCATTCGTATGTAAGGATATGAATACAGACCTGATCTTGGAAAAGTTGCCAGAATAATTGCATCTTCTCCGAGTTTTATGTCCCTTATGTACTGTAGTGCATGTTCCGCGTCTTTTAAGAATGGCACGTGCACCAGCTTTGGCAAGTACATTTCTCCATAATTGGGCCAATCAAGATCATTTACATGTGTGCCGTCCATGGTCGTTAATCTTGAAGCTGCAGTGTTATCTCTGGGAATAATATTACGTGACAAGGTATAGCAAATAAGGGGCGCTTTATATAGGTCGTTTCGGCACAATTATTTTTATCGATTGTCAACAGATTACAGCAGTTTTTTTTTCACTGGCTTAGTAAAGACGTAAATTGTGATGTCATGAGACAAGCTAGAGACCTCTCATCGCCATGGCCAGCGCACAGTTGCTTATAGAGTTAACGTACGTTAACAGACTAAATATTTTACGGAAAGCGCGTGAGCCTTGGCTCATACATACTAATAAATAAATAAATTTTAATAAATTTTGCAAATAAACTCCGAAACACCTGCACCATAGTTTATACTTAATCCTCTATCATTCCACTAGATATGAGATGAAGTCCTTAGACTATATTCAGATTTCATTCGCATACTAATTATTATAGTAAATTTCATTAAAAGTCTACTTTCATTTTCGATAAACAGTCTTGAAATAGCAAAAAATAGAGTACGGTGGTGGTTGTGGTTGGTGG